AAATCCATAGCGTTGCATGCATCTATTCTTTGCTTTCTCTTTCAAACTATCTTCACAACAACCCTGCAAAGCTGCCCAAACTTGGCAGTCCCTTGGCAGTCCCTTAGATGCTTTGGTGGGAGATCGCCAACAAATACCAGGTTCTGTAGGAAGGAAGTTGGCTTTAATAAGCCCTAGGAAATCCACAATGTTGCATGCCTCTAGTCTTTGCTTTCTCTTCCAAACTATCTTCACAACAACCCTGCAAAATAGCCCAAACTTGGCAGTCCCTTGGAACAAGGCTTTTCTTACAATTTCAGGACAGAAGTGGGGAAACTTTCCACTCTTGGACTGCAACTCCCATCATGAATGGCTATCTATCTTCCCAGAAGTCTAAAGTCCTTTTTTGGGGTTGTTTCCCCACTTTTATGTTTTCCAGTTGCAAATTTGAAAGTATATATTCGTTCATATACTATCAATAAAAACACATTCTGCTTGTCATCTAGGACTACACATTTTGTTGGAATCTTAGCAAGGAGTTACTTACCGGACCCTTCGAAGTGTCTGCAAAGAAAGAAGAAAACAAGAAAGAAAGACCTCCTCGATGGAACTGGGCTTAAATCCTGCCAGAGGAATGGAACGTTCAGGGCTTTCCCCCAGACGCGTCGCAGCCAATCAGCGCGCTCCCTCTGCGAGCCCGGGCAAGTCGCAGCCAATCGTAGGGGAGAACCAGCACCGCCACGCCCCCTTTTCTTGTCTCGCGCGCCATTGATATGCCTGGGTTTGATTTGATGCAATTTGACCCTCCTTGAATTTAGCCTGGCTCAGTGCTCTGGGATCCTGGGAGTTGTAGTATCTTCACACTAGGGCAGAGAAGGCTCAAGGCCTTGCAAAACTCCCAGGAACCTAGGAGCATTGAGCCAGGGCAGTTAAATATAATATAATATAATATATATATATATAATTAATATAATATAATATAATATAATATACTATAATATAATAAAATATAATACTACTACTAATAATATGATATTATAATTAAATATTTATATTACATGTAACATTACTTATAACATTACACAATAATATAATTATATATATTTATATTACATGTAATATTACTAATATTATTGCAATATAATTGTATAGTACAATATAGTAATATATAATGCTGATACTGTATTATGTTGCAGGTTCGAATCCGGGGAGAGCGCAGACGAGCTCCCTCTATCAGCTCCAGCTTCTCATGAGAAGCCTCCCACAAGGGTGGCAACGCATCAAAACATCCGGGTGTCCCCTGGGCAACGTCCTTGCAGACGGCCAATTCTCTCACACCAGAAGCAACTTGCAGTTTCTCAAGTCATTCCTGACATGACAAAAAACTATGCTAATAATATAATATATTGTATGTATATATATCTTACAAACCGCTCTGAGTCCCCTTCGGGGTGAGAAGGGCGACATATAAATGTTGTAAGAGTGGCAGGACATCAAAACATCCGGGTGTCCCCTGGGCAACGTCCTTGCAGACGGCCAATTCTCTCACACCAGAAGCGACTTGCAGTTTCTCAAGTCAGCCCTGACATGACAAAAAAACAAAACAAAACTGTGCTAATCTATATATATAAATTTGTTAGGGGCATCAAGGAAACAAAACTCAAAAATCCCCCAACGAAACTTAACCAAAATTCCCATGCCCATAACACAACCCACAAGGTACAAACATATCTACGCAAAATGAAAAACAACACAACAACACACTCACAAAACGGCAAAACAACAAAACTCAAAAATCCCCCAACGAAACTTAACCAAAATTCCCATGCCCATAACACAACCCACAAGGTACAAACATATCTACTCAAAATGAAAAACAACACAACAACACACTCACAAAACGACAAAACTCAAAAATCCCCCAACGAAACTTAACCAAAATTCCCATGCCCATAACACAACCCACAAGGTAAAAACATATCTACGCAAAATGAAAAACAACACAACAACACACTCACAAAACGGAAAAACAACAAAACTCAAAAATCCCCCAACGAAACTTAACCAAAATTCCCATGCCCATAACACAACCCACAAGGTACAAACATATCTACTCAAAATGAAAAACAACACAACAACACACTCACAAAACGGAAAACAACAAAACTCAAAAATCCCCCAACGAAACTTAACCAAAATTCCCATGCCCATAACACAACCCACAAGGTACAAACATATCTACTCAAAATGAAAAACAACACAACAACACACTCACAAAACGGCAAAAACAAAACTCAAAAAACCCCAACGAAACTTAACCAAAATTCCCATGCCCATAACACAACCCACAAGGTACAAACATATCTACTCAAAATGAAAAACAACACAACAACACACTCACAAAACGGCAAAACAACTGAGCATGCGCATTGGCGCCCAGCCGCAAGTTCCCTGGCACGCGCACATGCCCTTCCGGCCAACGTTCCCTCTGCGGAAACCATGCCCACTCCAAGCCCCGCCGCGCCGCTTCCCGCACACACACACACCCCTGCCGCACACACACACACAACCCCACACTCCATCACTCCCCCCGCCGCCGCACACACACACGCAACCCCACTCCCCCCGCCGCCGCACACACACACGCAACCCCACACTCCATCACTTCCCCCGCTGCCGCACGCACACACGCAACCCCACTCCCCCCGCCGCCGCACACACACACGCAACCCCACTCCCCCACTTTCCCCGCCGCCGCACGCACACACGCAACCCCACTCCCCCCGCCGCCGCACACACACACGCAACCCCACGCTCCATCACTCCCCCCGCCGCCGCACACACACACGCAACCCCACGCTCCATCACTCCCCCACCCCAATCTTACCTCCTTTTACTTCACGCCACCTCCAAACCCCACCCCGCCCCTTCCCGCCCTGTCAAAATCTAGGAAAGACAGGAAGGAAGGAAAGAAGGAAGAAAGAGAAAGGGAGGTCAAGAAAAAGGGGGAAGGAAGGAAAGTTAGAGAAAGAAGGAAGAAGAAAAGGAAAGAAAAGGAAAGATGGAAGGAAAGAAAAGAGAGACAGCAGAAAAGAAAGAAAAAGGGGGAAGGAAGGAAAGAGATAGAGAAGGAAGGAAGAAAGGAAAAAGGGAAGGGAGGGAAGGAAGGAAGGAAGGAAGGAAGGAAGGAAGGAAGGAAGGAAGGAGGAAGGAAGGAAGGAGGGAAAGAAGGAGAGAAAGAGGGAAGATTGGCCACAGCAACACGTGGCGGGTAAAGGTTGTTATTTCTATTATTATTATTATTATGCTATTGTTCCTATGAGACCCTGGAGGAATGGGAGAGGTGTCAGGTCCCAGAGGCAATGCATTACATTATTGTTATTGTTATGATGGTGGTAAAATAAAAGGAAATAAAAAGTGAAAGAAGGAATCAAACAGGGAGGGAAGAAAGGCAAAGGAAGAAAGGGGGAGGGAATGAAGGAAAGAGAGAAGGATAAAACCAAGTAGTGAAAGAAAGAAAGAGGTAGAGAAGGAAGAAAGGAGAGAAAGGGGGAGGAAAGGGGGCAGTTTCTCAAGTCAGCCCTGACATGACAAAAAAACAAAACAAAACTGTGCTAATAATATAATATATTGTATGTATATATATTTTGTAAACTGCTCTGAGTCCCCTTCGGGGTGAGAAGGGCGGCATATAAATGTTGCAAATAAATAAAAAGCGGTATCAAACTGCATTAATCCTGCAATGTAGATGCACCCTAGGAAAGAAGAAGAAGCAATAGATGCATTGCTGTTGCACATGAGAATTTGGAGTGCAAGGCTTGCAAGAATTGTTTTAAGCAGGATTTTGCCTCTAAATCTGGATTCAGGCACAATCCCTGCAGATATGCTTTTAATTGAATTAATCTGGGGTTTTTTAACTCATGGTTTAAAGGCACTCTTTTAGCAGCAGCCAAGAAAAGAAAGACCACAGAGCCACTTCTTAGCATTGCCATAAGCCTCTCTGATTTATGGCAAATTCAAGATTATTTTATGTGACTTGCCCAAGATCTCCATTGGGTTTCCATGGCAAAGCAGGAATTCAAAATTGGGTCTCAACACTCAAACTGTTCTGGCTTTTGATCAAGTTATGACTTCTCGGTAACTGGTTTTTATGCTTTTATGAGCAGCTTTATATCACATGGATTGTTCTGGTTTTTTCCATGGCTCACCTTTAGCAAAAAATATTTTGTTTAAGGCTTTCA